TATATACAAACAGAATATACAGTATCAGACTCTGCCGTCCAGAGAAATAGCCTCGCGCAGAATTCAGCCGTACCTAAAAGGTGAAACGAAAGATTATAAACGAGTAACTCGAAAGCAAATTTCGAAAGCTAGAAATCCAGGATCGTCGCGGTATCGTTTCGTCGCGGTGTGTACAATATCTCGCGGGGAGGCGCTTTCAAGAATGTCGTTTTTTCTCGGGATTACGTAATTTTGCAAACTCGCGCCGTGAAAAGTTCTTGCGAAATCACGCGCGAAAACAGCCAAGAGCGGCGGCAAGGACGATCGAGGCGGCCCGACCGAGCGCTAAAACGAAAATATTAACGCGCGAGAGGCCGGCCGATCGCGTTGCCCGCGTCGAAAGTGAAATTAAAACCTTCGTTGTAAATTGTGCCGAGAGGAACGAAATCCGCGGCGAATCGCGCGCGGCCGACTCGCGCGCGCGTTTACGGGGAATCAAAGGTTAAAGAGAGACAGGGGCCGAGTCTCTCTCTCTCTCTCTCTCTCTTTCTCGGTGGTGCTTCTCGCGCTTCTTCTTTTTCGTTTCCTCGTTATGCGCCGGAGACGCGAGGACGCTACCATAAGAGGACATCTCTTGGCATCTTCGGCTCTCCGTCGCGTCGTTCTCCCGTGCCTCGGCTCTCTCGGCCTCCGTCTCCGAACTACGAGCCCGGCCCGATGGCTGGAAGCGAGAACCGGGGGACGGACCCGCGCGTACCTTCGAATCCATCGATCGCCGATACACAAACGGGCCGAGTTAATTGCCCGCTTGTGCTTCCATCGACATTTTTAACGCGGGCTTATTCGACGAACGACGCTTCTTCTTTCATCGATCGTGCCGTAAACACGTTATCGTCGAAAAGAAAAGTCGAAACGAATACGCGCGCGTTCCACCGCATTGTCGGACGAAAAGACGGCACGCTTTGAAATTTATCGTAATTTTTACTCATTCGACGTTGCGACCAGGCTTTTCTTTACACGCGAATTTGCAAAATACCGCTACAAGAACGGTACGGCAATGAAATAGAATCGAATTTCGTCTCCTCTGTATTTCGGTACACGTTCAAACTCTCCAACTTAGTTCTTAGTTTTCGCGTAACGTAGAATTGCGCACAGAATATCGTTCGGAAATAAAAAGATAGGTTCACGATAAAAAGAAGCGAGACAACCTTGACGTATCCTTGAAAACGCCCACGAATTAAGAACCTAGTAGAGTTATTCGACTCCCTACTCTAAATACGAAACCGACCATCGGCTCGTCCTTTTTTTTATAAATCACGCGTCTACGAGATTCTTTATTTGAATCTCGATATCGCGATCTCGAGTTAAACGGGCCAACCTGTATATTCGCCGATTATTTTCCGTCGAATCGTACGCCGAGAAGAGAATATCGTTGCACAGGGTGGTGAGCATTTTATCCGCAAAGAAGTCCCGGATCTTACTCGTCCGCTTTCGTAACCGGCCGGCCGGCCGGCAAAGCGTTACATAAATCAAGCAGCGTTAATGTACAGGCGACAATGATCGGAGCACTTCCCGAAGTATGTAACGTACCGTGGCTGCATTTTCGAACCGGCCGCTTTTATCGAGGTCCATTAACGGTGAAACTTCGAAACAACAACTAGTTCGGGAATAAGTCGCGACGCGATAAAACGTCGCGAGCTTTCGTCGAAGCCACCGGGTCCTTCGCGACAAAGGTCGTCATTCGGGCGCGACGCGGCGGCCCGGCGAGAGCGTTCGGGCGAGCACTCACGGGTTATCCACGCGCGAGATGACAGTCGTAAATAGCGTAAACGCTTTTTAACGCGCTCCTCCGTCTACCGCGTCGCTCGTTCCCGGCCGTGCGCGTACACCGCGAGGACGAAAAAGAAGTCCTCGGACTCGAGGGAGACGTCGCGCTTCCTAATAAAGGCTCGATCCTGTACAACCGACAACAGGTTGTTCTATTCGAGGCCGCGCGACCGCCTCGACCTTTTTGCTCGCGTTCTTCTAAGTTTGTACTCGAACTTGCGCACCGGACGACCGACTATTTTCTTCGTGCCTCGAACGGTTCCGAGGGACCCTTCGAGCACCGCTCGCTGTTACGCTCGCGTTTACGAAAATATTTGTGCCGCGATACACGGTAGATAAAATGAGAAACGATTCCCTCACCTTTTAACTTTTTAGGTACGGTTGAATTCTGTACAGAGTCTGATACTGTATATTCTGTCTGTATATACAGCGTGTCCCAAAAATGTCTCGCAATCCGAAAGTGGCGGGTTCCTCAGGCCATTTGAAGCAACTTTTTCCTTTACAAAAATGTTCTCCGAGGCACCGTTAACGAGTTATCAACGAAAAACAGTGACCAATGAGAGGCGAGCTCGGCTGGCGCGAAGCGATCGAGCCAATGAGCGGAACTGGGCTTCGCGAGCTGGTTGGCTGTGCCGCCTCGCGTCGGCCGTACTCGATTCTTATTGGTCACTGTTTTTCGTTGATAACTCGTTAACGGTGCCTCGGAGAACATTTTTGTAAAGGAAGAAGTTGCTTCAAACGATCCGAGGAACCCGCCATTTCCGGATTGCGAGACATTTTTGGGACACCCTGTATTTACTTAAATATACCGTTTATATTACTCTTGAAATAATTTCGCGAGCCGCCGTGTACCACGGTCGAGTTTTACCAGGAATTTCGCGCGTTTATCTCGCGATTCCTCGGGTCCATCGGAATCGGGCGTATCGCGAGAGCCGGCACACGCTACCCGACGATCCGGCTGTTGGCTACGCGTGGGCACACGGGGTATTGTCGGGTGAGTCATCTCTCTTTTCCGTTGCTCGTGCACCTCTCGTCACCCCGTGTGCAACGTGTGCAGCGCAGCGCAGCGCGCGGTTTGTTTTCTGGGTAAAAGTCGAAGAGCCGCGCGGCGGTTCTTAAGAACAATGGAAACAAAAGTGGCACGCCGGCGCGCCGGCACGCGTGCTAGCACAAGGTAGCCATGGTCACGGCGGTCACGTTTCGCGGAACGTTGTGTCGTATAAGTGTACCGGTGTGCCGCGCGTCCACCGTGTACACCTATGCTCCGTGATCGCGTTATGCCTACTTTGCCTTTCCGTTCTGCCACCCTCGGAGCTATGTACACCGGTACGCGCTCGTATGCAGGCACTGGTCGCCTCGGCCCGTCTCCATCACCACCACCGCCACCACCATCACCAGCGTCCACCGTGTCCGAGGCTCTGGATGATCCGTCCGCCGTCCTCCGAGCAAACCGGAAATCAACTGTCGCAAATTCCTTTTATCCGAGCTCCGTTTATTATATTACTTTAGTCGGTCGCCGTACCTGTTCCAAAATTATAAACATTCTTGCACAAGTATCCGTAGCTCTTAACGTCGACCACCCATCGTTCCACAGCGAAGTTACCGGCGCGAGCGAAGATTTTTTCTTGGTTATTCGCGTGCATTTTCAACGCATCTACTGGTCGCCGTGGAATTTATTCGACTAAATTTTCGCAAAATTGGGGTGTCAAGGCTGTGTTAATTTCTCTACTGTGAAAATATCGATCGAATCGTTCAGCGCACAGTTAATATCGCGATAAAATTCGTAAACGGGAGAAAACCTAAATGAATGAAAAGCGAAAGAACGTAAATTACCGCGCTTAACGATTCTGAAATATTCCGATCGTACGATATGCTAGTTTTCTCGTTATCCCATGGAAACGTGTCCATTATTATAGAAAGCACTTGGAACTCGCAAACGTAACTGTCCCGTTTAGTAAAATTAAAGATATTAAATGGGAATTAATTAAACGGGACGAGCGTTAAAAAATTCCGATCCGCGAAACGATTCTATCCCAATAAACCGTTTTATAGGATGCCATAAACCTCGCTCGTCGTCGTTACGTTGAATTCGATTCGACGCGGCCAATAGAATGTTGGTTTGCAATTGTAGAAGATATTTCAGCATCGGCGTAACCGAACCCAGTTTCGTCGTATCTTTCACTTTCTTTATACTGCGAACATAATACGAGACCCGATCGGTTTAATTTGACAACGCGGGTTATGCAACCCCGCTGTCGGTATTGGTGACCGGTTGGTCGCGAACGAGTCCTCGGGGATCGATAGGAAACCCAAAAAGAGAAATAGCCTTTCGATCGACTCTCGGATTACGGATCGTATCGACGATGCGAAGCGGCGACTGGTAGCCGAGTTATTTCGAATCCGTATAGAAAAAAATAACGAATTTTGTGTTACTATTGGGTTAGCATCTATAACTGTAATCGACAATTACTTAGTTGCCAACCTAATATTTCTTATTATTGTACAATATTGTACAATATTGTTTTACGTACAATTATTTACGAAGAAGTATCCCGAAGAAGACCTCCTTATCCGAACATTTACTTTTACGATATTCTGCTATCTAAACGTTCCATTATCCGATCGTTATATTATTTAGATGCACAGGGTGTCCCGAAAATGTCTCGCAATCCGGAAATGGGAGGTTCCTGAGGTGATTTGAAGCAACTTTCTCCTTTGCGAAAATTTTCTCCGAGGCTCCGTTTACGAATTATTAACGAAAAACACTGACCAATAAGAGGCGAGCTCGGCTGGCGCGCGGCGGCCCAGCCAACGAGTGCACGGAGCTCAGTTCCGCTCATTGGCTCGGCCGTCTCGCGCCAAATGATCTCGCCTCTGATTGGTCACTGTTTTTCGTTAATAACTCGTAAACGTAAAAAGTTGCTTCAAACGACCTCAGCAATCCCCTACTTTCGGATTGCGAGACATTTTTGATTGGACACCCTGTATTATCGATTAGCAGGCTACTCGAATGAAATGTTTAGGCAATAGAATGTTTTCGCTTCGGAATATTGCAAAAATAAACCCTCGGATAAGAGAGTCTCTATTGTAATACAGAGATATAAAATATTAAAAAACTGAATATCTCAGTTCAGTTCAGTTCGGTTCACTCGTACGGGCGACAGATCTTGATTCGTTACGTTTGCGTTACGCAGGTCGAGAACGTGAGCCTGTGCGTGGGTGCGCTCCGAGCCCTCGGGGCGGACGTGGGATCCGTGAATCCTGTGGAATTGGCGGCAGGATCAACCCTCTGGCCGGTCCTAGCCCTTCTTTTCGCCCTCTCACGATACAAGCAGAGAGCGAAACAACTTCAAGACATGCCTAGGTAAGTCGTCGATGCAGGTTTCTTCTTCGTGGCTAGCGAAAACGTGGCGAGCTTCTGTATCGACCGGATCCTTTGCGGATAAGGTAGATCGCGTCCATCGATGGTTGGTAACAACCGCCTACCTGTACAACCGAAGTCGAGGTAGGAATCGTGGGCATCGCTTTATCCTACAAACTTGAAATTCGTGTTCAACCCTTTCGGTACTAACCGAATCGAGGAAGCACAGCGTAAGGAATACGTGTATACTTTATATATTATTTGTATTCGATAGTTTTCAGATTTTTTGGTACTCGGTATCGGTTTCTTACGCGCTCTTCGTGCTCTTAATCGAAAACGTTGCAACAATGTATCTATTGTCTGTTCCAGCATCGAATACTTTCTTTATAGAACCGTATTTAAATAATGAGAAAAATGAACAATTCACGATCGTGCTAAGGGTTAAATTCAAGGCGTCTTGTAACGTTGGCCACCGGCATACGATCGCTCGTTCGAGAGATTCTATCGCGGCGCAAGAAACTCGGGGCGAAGATAAAAGTCGTTCCCCAAAAGCCCCAGAGTCGAGGTAAACTCGTTTAACCGGCGAACGTTTATCTCGATGGACGGGGTCTCGACGCGCTCCATTAACGAGGACACCCATCGGGATCCTCTCGATTTGGTCCGGGTCCCGTGGACGTTGATCGATACCCGTGCATCGCCGCGAATAACCTTTTAGGCACGACGCGCCACTATAGTGACTTGCTCTAGTAACTCACTCGCTCATATGCACTGTTTCACACTTCTTTTGTCTTCGCATCGATTTACAACAGTCTACAGGGTGTCCCAAAAATGTCTCGCCATCCGGAAATGGCGGGTTCCTCGGATCATTGGAAGGAACTTCTTCCTTTACAAAAATGTTCTCCGAGGCACCGTTAACGAGTTATCAACGAAAAACAGTGACCAATAAGAATCGAGTACGGCTGACGCGAGGCGGCCCAGCCAACCAGCGCGCGAAGCCCAGTTCCGCTCATTGGCTCGATCGCCTCGCGCCAGCCGAGCTCGCCTCTCATTGGTCACTGTTTTTCGTT